AATTTTTATAAATTGGTCCCTTTAGATTAAAAGAGTTTTAGAAAACAATGTCCATGTTAGTCTAAACCCGTTGTTGCAAAATAATTTTTGGTTTTGTAAATTTTGCAGTTTTTTTACTGTAAATTTGTTTGGGAAAGTCTTTTTGCTTAAACGAGGGTTTTTTTTCGTTTTACATAATTGTTTTTTCCCTCCTTTTGTAATGTTATTAAGTTTCGCAGTGAGGCCAAAGTATGCTGTTTAAAAACTTTTGCAGTTGGTTTATGCTTTTTTTTTTGCTTACGGAAATTTTTTGTAATGCTTAATTTTTTTTTATAGGGAAATGTTTTTTGGATAAAAATTTCTAGACTTTGTTTTAAGTTTTAAAAAACATAATCAGTTGCATGTTTTTAGTAAAGTTACGAAAAAATTTTTTGTTTGATCACGCTGTGATTTAAAAGTTTTGAAAAGATGTTTTGTGTATTTTAAATGAAATTTTTTATGGGGGGGTCCCCCCCCCAAAAAGTTTTGTGTGTATGTGTCGATTTTATTATCATTTTTTATAATGTGTGTCAGTGCATGGTGTGATTTATTTTGGGGTGTTTTATAATTATTTCCTTGCCCCTTGATAAATTTTTTGGTAATCTTGTCCCGGCCTTTTTATTTTTGTTTGGTTTTTAAAAATTTATACTACCCGGAATTATGATGGTTTTGGGTCCAAGTAAAGGATTCAAGTTTTTATGTTTTTTCATTTCTTTATGTATTAATGTTTAAGGCTTACTTTTGTTATAATGTTATACGTACGGTTGTATGCTTTTATATGATATTTCATCATGTATGGTTTAGGGAAATACGAGTTGGCTTAGGTGTAAATATCGGGTATGTGCTGCAGCGTACCTTATAAGCTGTATTATGTTCATGTATTATGTTTTGTATACCCGTTTAATGAAGGATGGAGTTTTATATATTTAATATGTTATATGACGTTTTAAATAAAATATAAAAAAAAAAAATCATCAAGGAGGTTGCTCAATATCATTGGTCTATGGTAATCTTCTTCATGGATAAAACAACGGACTCTGTGGGAGAGTCATTCTGAGTCCTGTGAGGAGTATTGATATAATCCGTGGTATTTTCAACATGGAGAGGATGTTCTCTATCTGGCATGTAGAGTTCTTGAATTGCATAGAGTTGTTTCTTCAGGGTGCCAAGGCGTACATTTAAGGAGTAATATCCTCTTCTACATGTAAATCTGCCATTTTAACACACACACTCCTCCTGGTGCTCGTAATGAAGCGAAGAGCTCTATTCTGGACCCGTTGCAACCGTAGCATGTTGGTCTTTGTTGTTAATGACATTAGGACACTTGGGTATTCGAGTATAGGTCTTATTATCATTTTATACAGATGTTTTTTGACATGTGGAGGGGCTTGATTAAATCTAAAGAGACCGTTAAGACCGGCTTTGGCTATGTTGATCTTTTTATTTACACGAGATGTTGAGTGGAGCAGCCTGTATTTCATATCCCAAGATCTTGTTAGGGTTTCTAATGGCTACAGGTGTACCTCTGATGGAGATACCCCCTTTATCTTCGATGGTTGATGCAAAACATCCTATCGTGCTAACAAGGACTTTGTCAGGGTTAGTCGTAATTCTCCATTTCTTTTCCCAATTAGATGTTCGACGAAGTTCAATATTCATTTTCTCTGACTCTCTCATACTTGTATTTTCCTGTTACCGGAGTTGATGAGACGACATGGATAACATCTGCAAATTGCGTTATAATTGTGTCATTAAACTCTGGTTGAGGAAGGTCATTCATATAAATGTTGAATAGAACTGGACTAAGACAAGAACCTTGTGGGACACCAGCTGTTGGTATAAAAGGCTCTGTCGACCTGCCGTGAAAGGTGGGAATGATTTTTCTTTGAGTTAAGAAGTTGCATATTAATCTGAGAAAAGTCCAGTTATGGTCTGGTAGGTCAATGAGTTTGTATATAAGACCATCATGCCATAAGCTATCAAAAGCTTTATGAACATCTCTGGTGGCAAATAGGGCAAGATTGCCCTTGCTACAGTATCGAAAATAATATTTGTGTGTTCTAAAGCCAAATTGTTTTTCAGTAAAAAGGTGATTAAACTCCACATAGTAGTTCAGTCTGTTGGAAATGATCTTCAAGAACTTTTCCAGTGACTTCAAGTAAAGATATAGGTCTATAGTTCCCAGGTTGGTGGATGTCTTTATTGGGCTTAGCAAGAAAGATCATCCTAGCAGTCTTAAAAACCACTGGAAAATGGCCTGAGGCCAAGATGGCATTAAAGATGTTAACCAAAGACTGTTTACAATTTCTGGGCAGGAACTGTTTCATTGTTATTCCAGAGAGACCAGGGGCTCTATTTCGCATTCTTCCAATTATTATTATTATAATAAAAAAGAAGCGCTAAGCCACAAGGGCTATACAGCACCTTCTTCCAATAACCTGACTCATCTCGAGTAATGTAATAGGTCTAGTAAGCGGGTGGACATCTTCAAAAGTTGATGTATCGATGGAAGGTAGTGGTTGTAGATCTATGTTCTCATCTCTCCATTTACCAACTGATAGCGAGTATTGTTAAATCGACGACTGTTATTGTGGGAGAGAATTTTCTCCCATACATCACCCATCAAATTAGCCTGGTCCTGTGGATCATCAAGTTTAATCTCAACATCTTCATCATCCTCATCAGTGAAGGTATGAATTAGGTAGTTAGGAGCCTTGTGCTTTGCCCCTAAAAGTTGTCGGATCTTACTCCAAAATTTTGCTGGCTCACGTTTATACTGATTAGCTTGAAGAACTAGCAGTTTCCATAAGTCATGTTTGTGATGACTAATGTTAATTCTTGCCTCAATGGTGGTTGTCGCGTTTGAAGATGCCTTCGACATTCTGTTTGATAATTTCTCAAAGCGTCTCTAATTTCCCTCGTAGAAGCATCAATTATTCGATTGTGAAGGGACCTGATCGCGTAGTCAATTGCAGTGGAAGGTAGATTTTTCAACGACACAATTTCATCACCCAGAAATTTAATTTTAATTTCATATTTATGTGAAGGTTAAAATCCTTCAGTCTAATTAATATTTCCCCTAGAAATAATTATTTACTCTTCACTAATGCATCTACCACGAATTAATAAATATGGTGTTAATTACTGCCTGGGTTATATCCTAAACTTTACTTTGTATTCCCTAGAAAGCATCCTACAGTGCACTGTGGTAATCCTTTTGTTTTTAAGATGAATATCTAGCTGAATAAGCAGGGGGAATGTTTCGACTCTTAACGAGTCACATTAAAGACTAGTCGCATGCTGTATAGCTTCCTAAAAAAATCGTCACCGATAATCAGTTGTATCGTATGTTACATGTGACGCATGTGGTGTATAGCTTTGCTCAAGTAGGTCATCAGTGATTCAGACTCTTAATGGATCAGAGGTCTCAATAGATACTAGTCTTGTTTTCTAACGAAACAAGATGCAGCCTGAAGACACTTAAAACTGCTGCGATAAGCCTTTTTTTTTATAAGAACTGCCGCCACACGACTTTTTTACAGTTCTAAGTCAGCGTAGGCGTCTCAACTCCGCGAAGCCGTTCACACGACGGATTCATGTCAACGATATGCAACAGAGTTACAACAAAATATAAGAACATAAGAACATAAGAACGAAGGAACACTGCAGAAGGCCTACTGGCCCATGCGAGGCAGGTCCAAGTCTCCTACCGGCTTAAGCCAATGCACCCAACCTAGTCAGGTCAGGTCACATTGACTTAAGGGAGGAACACGGCAACCGACCTGGTAGCACAAGCTATCAGGTCTAACTCACACCCACCCACATCCACTCATGTATTTATCCAACCTATTTTTAAAGCTACACAACGTTCTGGCCTCTATAACGGTACTTGGGAGTTTGTTCCACTCATCCACAACTCTATTACCAAACCAGTACTTTCCTATATCCTTCCTGAATCTGAATTTTTCCAACTTAAAACCATTGCTGCGAGTCCTGTCTAGGCTAGATATTTTCAGCACACTATTTACATCCCCTTTATTTATTCCTGTCTTCCATTTATACACCGCAATTTCAGAAATATCGAGGTGGTCTTCACAAACATTTTTTCATAAAACCACGTAATATAAAGTGGATGAGCAAGTCATGATTATTACTCTTGCTATTTTTTGTAAACCTATTTAGTGCCGCTTATTACAACCACTTTCGAAAAGTAGGTTTAACCACGCACGGAAACTGAAGCATATTAAACTTTTCAATGACCCTAGAAAAGTTTTCGTAGAGCAATAAATGTTTGGTGCCTCACTGACGTTGATACTTAAAGCTTATGTAATGGCCGCTCGTCCTGTTTCCACTAGTATTGCTTCACAGGCCTGAATTTGGAGGCTCCAAGACCCTCGTATACCTATGTCTAAGTACTTCCTCAGAGCAGCTAATTGGCCAATTAACGTTACAAGGGTGTATTAGACAGTTTACGTGTTGGGTGTATTATTAGTTATGCTGCGAGAAATTTATAGGGTAGTAACCATTGTATCCGATACCTGTTAACTAATTAGTATTGTATTTAAGAGGAAACTAAATTAGCAAGTCGTTCAACGACTAGGAAATATGATTAAAGTTCGACCTAAGGAAGAGGGGGAAGCTATTTTATTTTGGACCCCATCAACCTCTAACTAGCAATAAGGAACCTACCTTGAATGGAACTAAAATATAATTATATTCAGCAGATTTTATTATTTTACTTTTGGTAATGTGAAGACATGAAAATCAGTAATAATGGAGGTATCTCGGGTAAATCAGTAATTACAGGGTAGCAGAACACATTCTAGTTTACTTACATTATCTGTTTCTTTTACAAATTGCTTAAACACACTACAAAGCCAGTGATGATGAATTTATATATAAACAAAGCACGGTTGATCATCCCCATTACCAGGGATCCTGGTTCATCTTCCCAGCTTGACTTGCAAGAAAAACAAACATACCAAAGATTTCACTTGTAATCCACAGATTGCGAGCAACGAGAGGGTGGTGAAGCACTGCTCGTCAACCTGTAACTTGTCAGAGGCAACTAAGAGGTGGTGAGCACCCCGCTTGTGATCACCACACCTTCCAACCCCTACACGGACATGTGAAGTCTGAGATTGTTACAAAGAAGCGACACTGCTGCTGCTCCCACGTACCCTTCATGGGACGGATGTTCCTTGATGCTGGAGAAGAACTCTTAATCAAAGGAAGCAGAGCTATCCTCCTCTTTCCTTGGATCAAAGATGATTATTTACATTAATTACCATTCCTCAGGCTCTGAATGACTCCTATGGGTTTAGCTCTTCCTCATCAATGTAATACTAATAATCCTATCTGAGTGTGGGGTGCAACCAACAGGTGTCGCCACGAGTATGTTGGTCTAGTCGTCTCATTCCACATCGAATTCCTACCCCTCATGGGAAGTGCCTTGATGCCGATAAGGGGCTCTTGATTCAAGGAAATGGGCCTATGCTTCCCTTCCTTGAATCAAATCTTATTGTCTCCCATTCCCTATGCATGGGACGGAAATTTAAATATTATTAATTGAATTTTCAGGCTAAGGTTTATTTTACATCAGCTCATATCAGTCACAATTAATTTTAAATTTTAAAGGGGTGGAAAGGTAACCCAGGGAAACCCCTGATAAAGGGCCAAAATTGGGGGGGGCCAATCAAGATTAGACCCCGAGTTCAGGAACCCCTTTCCCCCTTCCGGCTTTTCCTGGAGTTTACAAAACCAAACCTCTCCCCAGCCCCGGGGGATTTTCCTTAACCCAGGAAAACCGAAAAGGGAAAAGGAGGGACAAAGATGAAATTTTTTAATTAAAACCATTTGGCTCCAAACCCCAACCCCAAAAAAACAAAAACCTATTCATTCGGTTTTTGTTTCCCAAAAGGGGCCAGAGTAGTTTTGGGGGGTTTTTATACCACCGAGCCCCCCCGGGCCCTTTTAAGGCTTTCTTATTTTTTAATTCAAAAAAAGGGGAAATTTTTTCCCTTTAAAATAAATTTTTAAAAAAGGTCCCCCTTTATGCTTTGGGAAAAATTTAAATATTATTAATTAAATTTCAGGTACTTTATTTTACATAAATTCAGGTCAGACCTTAAATTTTAAAATTTAAGGGGGGAAGGGTTCCCCCCCCAGGGAACCAAAACGGTAAGAAAAAAATTCAGGGCCTTTCATCATGAAAAACCCCGGTTTCAAACACGGTCCCCTTTTCCGAGGGTTTAAAAACAACCCTCCCCGGGCCCCCACAGGTTCTCCCAGGTACCAATTGCGGGTTTTAAAGAGGGACAAAAACTGAATTTCCTTTTCCTCCACCCCCCAGGTCCCTTTTTACGGGGGGACGGCCCCCCCCAGGCTACTTTGGGGGTTAAATTACCTCAACCTCTCACGGTTTCTTTCATTTTAAAAATTTAAAAACCCCCCGGGGAATTTTTTAAACCAAAAAAATAGGTCCATACCCCCAAAAATAAAATTCCCCGGGGTACATCCTTGCAGGTCCCAAACCCTTCCAGGGGGCATCAATTGAAAAGGTCCAACCCGGGTTAAATTTAAAACCTGACGGGTACCCCCCAAGGAACATCAACTAAAGGGAAAACCACCTCAGGGCCCTACCCCCGTGGAACCCCCCGGGGACTTTAACTAAAGGTCAAAACCCTCCGGGGTACAAAAAAACCAAAGGGGTCACACCCCAGGGTACAAAACACTCAAAAGGGGGGAATAAGAGGGGCTACCCCACCCCCCGGGGTACATATAACTAAAGGGTACCTTCCCCCAAAGGGTCCAAAAAAGGGGAAGGAAGACCCCACACTTTATGCCTAACCCCTGGGCCAATTTTTTAAAGGAAACAACCTCCCAGGGACATACCCCGGAAGTAAAAACCCCTCCCGGGGTTTATACCTGCGGATACACACCCTTCCAGGGTAATGCACTTGAAAATTTCACCCTCCCAGGGTACATAATGACAGGTACACACCCCCAAGGTACATAACTGACAGGTTTTTTACAAACTCCCAAACCCCCCAGGGAAACTAAAACTGAATCACCCCTTTCCCGGGTTAAAAACCCCAGGATAACCCCAGGGCAAAAATCAACTTAAAGGGTTAAAACCCTCCCAGGGTACATTACTAAAGGGGTACCACCTCCCAGGAAAATTTTCAACCCAAAAAGGAACACATTTCCTGGGGCCCAAAAAACTCCCCCGGGGTAAAAAACCCCCTCCCAGGGTGCATTTGACATTTACAACCCCCCTTTTCAGGTCACAATTGACGGGGTCACACCCCCCAGGGGAAAATTTAAAAGGGGACGGGTACACACCCCCAAGGGTACATAAAACCCGGGGTTGTAAATTTAACCCGGGGTGAAACCCTTGGGTAACCCTTTAGTTTAAAAATAATGCCCCAAAGGTTCCCCCAGGGCAATTTCAACTTGCCGGTTTCAACCTTCAGGTACATTAAACGGGCCGGGGTTACACACCCCCAGGGAATTTCACGGGACAAACACACCCTGGGAATAAACCCCAGGTACACACCTCTCGGGGGTCAAAAAAACACCCCCAATGTTTAAAGGGGTTACACACCCCCCCAGGGTACATATTTTTGAGGTTTACCCCCTCTCCCAAAAAAAACAGGAAAATTTTGGGAAGAAAAATACAAAATTTAGTGTTTAATTTTAAAAGTGCCTTTTTTGAAATTTTGGAAAACTAAACTCCCCCGGGGGAACAAACACTGGGGGAAACTTACACCTCCCGGGGGTAAAAACCCCGAAGAAACACACCTCTCAGGGAAAAAAACCCAAAAGAGGGCAACACCTTCCCAGGGCAAACACTGAGAGAACCATCCCCAAAAAATTCATAACGGGGAGGAACCCCCGTTTCCCCCAAAGGGAATACCTGGAAAACGGAACACCCCCCGGGGAAAATACCCCGGGGAGAAAAACACCCCCCCGGGGGAATTCATACCCCGACAGAACCACTTTTTCGGGGAAAAACATAAAAGGACGCCACCTTCCCGGGTTTCAAAACCGAAAGCACACACCTCCCGGGAAACATACACTGAGAAAATACATCTCCCTGGGCAGAAACCCTGAAAAAACCAACACCTCCCGGGGGAAAAAAAACCCCTGAAAACACACACCTCCCAGGGAAAAAAACCCCGAAGACACCACCCCCGGGCCCCCCAATACCGAGAGCCACCCCCCGGGGTACTTCAACCAAAAAGACACACACCTCCCGGGTCATAAAATGAGAGAACACTTTTCCCGGGGTACATAAATGAGAGAAAACACCCCCCGGGGGCATACATGAGAAAAACCCACACCTCCCAGGGTAATAAAAACTGAGAGACCCCAAATTCCCGGGTCATAACGGGGAAAAGAACCTCCCCCAGGGTCCCTTACACTAAAACCAAACACACCTCCCTGGTCATAACTGAGAAAAAACCTCCCAGGTACATAACAGGGGGCAAACCACACCCCCCCGGGTACATACCCTGGAGGAAACAACCCCCCAGGGTACATACACTGAACCCAACCCTCCCGGGTCAAACACGGGCGGGGAACCCCTTTTTCCCCATGGTACTTTCCATGAAAACCACACACACCTCCCAGGGTACATACACTAAAGAGACCCCAACCTCCCAGGTTACATACACCCCCTAAGGGACAAAAACTAAAACCACCTCCCAGGGTAAATACACTGAGGGGCACAAACCCCCCCCAGGGTAAACCGGGAAAAAATCGGTAAACACTAACACACCCCTCCCAAAGGGAAATTTACCCAAAAGTCCCACACCCCTCCCAGGGCCCCGGGGGGGCCCCCAAACACAACTGGGGTAAGACACAAGTGATAACTCCCAGGGGGGAACAGAGAAACAACAGACCCCCCCAAAAGGGGGAAAATCACTGGAGCACCCCCTTTTTCCCCGGGGTTTTCCCTACATTTTGGAGAGGAACCTTCCCATACTACAGGGGGGAATTAAAAACCCCCCCAGGGTTTACATACACTCCCTCCCGCTTTTCCCCATTCAACCCTCCCGGGGTTTTTACATACACTTGGGGAAGGCACAACCCCCCAGGAAATACCGGAAAACCACAAAAACACCTCCCATTGTACATAAACTGAAACACACCCCCCTTCCCAGGGTCCCAAAACACTGGGGAGACAAAACACCCCCCGGGGTACAAACGAACCCCCTTTTCCCCCCTTTCCCCCCATTACAAAATAAAAAGGTTTTTTCAGTACGCAATTTGGAGCGGGCCGTTTCCCCAGTTTTTTCCCCAATAAAAAATTAGGGCGGGTTTTTTTTTTATCTATAATTTTTGAGATTATGGGGCCACAATAGCTTTAAATATTTGATGGAAATTTAACTTCTCCAATCGAGAGTGACTTATTTTTGGTAAAAAAATTTCCATTTCAGGGGGAGGAAAAATCCCTTTTAAAGAAATCAAATGATTTTCTTCAATTTTTTAAAACAGTTTCTTTTTTAACCCATTTCCACTTTGTCCTTGGCGGGAAGGTGATAACAAAAATTTATTTGTTCTTTAAAAAAATCGGGTTTTAACAGACCCCCGTTTTTTTTTTATATATAAATTACAAAAGTGAAATCCCTTTTTAAAAAAAATTTCTGTTCCGGGGTTTTGATTTAACATTTTTTCGTAGCGAAGTAGCTGAAATTTGTTGTCGTTGAATTTTTTTTTTGTTTTTTGTGACCCACTGGAAGATTTGGGGGTTTACATGGCTTTAAATTTTGTTTGTCCTCGATAAAAGACCTCATCCCAGTTCTGGTTCATCTGCAAAAGGATTTTTTCAATGCGATGTTTTGTCTTGTCATAAATTGAAAATGAAAAAAAAAGGGAAACGAGTATTTAACGGAAAAAAACAGCACTTTGACATGTAGATCCCTTCGTTTTTTTACTGTTTTGTCAATTAAGCTCTGAAGCGGGATTTTTTTTGGGCATTTTAAACTGCCCCCCTTTTTAATCTAAATTTTTGATCCCTGCTCCACCATGATCACAATTGTCAAATTTTTTTTTTTTTTAAATAGTCCGTATGCATTACATCAGAAAATTTTTTTCTTTTCCCTTAATACTTCAGAAATAAAAAATAGGGAAGA